TTTCAGTGACTCATGAAAATGCAAAGAAAATTTCTCTCAGACCAAGTAAGCAATTCATAAATATAGTATTGCACACACACTTTGGGCATATTTTTTTGTAGGTTTTATTTTTTTTTTTTTACTTGAAGCAAACTGTTGGCATTCTGAGCCCTATATTACAGTTTCAATTGCTTTGAAATGACAACTGTGTGTGTGAAGTGAATAAATGAAATGTACAGTAACACAATAGATGTATCCCTTTTGAGTTTGAATTTCATTTCTATTTCAACTGTGTGTGCATACAGAACAATGCAGAGATTCAGTGAGCCACAGCAGAAAAATGCTGAAGAAAAAAAATAACTTTTTGAAAAACCACATTTAAGGGGGTTAGAATATAGTTCATTTAACCACTTGCCCTCCTGAGGATTTACCCCCTTCCAGACCAGGCCATTTTTTTGCAATACAGTGCTGTGTTACTTTGACAATTGCATGATCATGCACTGCTGCACCCAAATGCAATTTACGTCCTTTTTTTTCCTCACAAATAGAGCTTTCTTTTGGTGGTATTTGGTCACCTGTGCGTTTTTATTTTTTGTGCTATAAACAAAAAAAAAGATCGACAATTTTGAGAAAAAACAATGTTTTAGACTTTTTGCTATTAAACATGTCCAATAAAAAAATTTTCAAAATCAAATGTCATCATAAATTTAGGCCAAAATGTATTCTGCTACATGTCTTTGCCCAATACGTGTAAATGAATTGGTTTACATGAAAGCATTTATAAATACTGGGATTCTTTCTTTAATTTTTTTTTACTAGTAATGGTGGCGATCAGCGACTTATAGCGGGACTGTGACGAGCATTTTGACACTAAGGGGAACTTACTTGGCATCACTGACATCCCCAATGACACCAATACAGTGATCAGTGCTAATAAAAAACACTGACACTGTACTAATGGCACTGGGCAGGAAGAAGTTGACATCTGGGGCACTCAAAGGGTTAACTGTGTGCTGTTTCACTACTGGGGCTGGGTGTGTGCTTCACTGTAAGCACACTGCTTTGTTTGGCTCTGCTATGCAGTGTGCAGGAGCTGACAGGGGAGAGGTCTGTGTTGTTGTTTATACTCCATCAGATGTACTCACCGACCACCGATCAACAAGCCGAGGCCACAAATTGCGGCGTGGGTGGGAACTGCAAAATTACATATATATATGTGATTTTGCACACCCGTGCCGCCCTGTAGCAGTATTTCTGTGAAGGAGAAAAATTACCTATCTGCAAAATTTTATAATAGAAACAAAGAAAAAACGTTTTTTTCACAATTTTTGCTTTTTTTTTGTCTATAGCCCAAAAAATAAAACATCCAGTGGCAAGTAAATATCACCAAAAGAAAGCTCTATTTGTGTGAAAAAAATGGTAAAAATTTCATATGGGTACAATGTTGCATGACTGCGCAATTGTCATTCAAAGTGCGACAGCGCTGAAAGCTGAAAAGTGGCCTGGGCAGGAAGGGGGTATAAATGCCCTGTAGGCAAGTGGTTAAACCCACATAATTAACCACTAGCCTACAGGGCACTTATACCCCCTTCTTGCCCAGGCCAATTTCCAGCTTTCAGCGCTGTTGCACTTTGAATGACAATTGCGCGGTCATGCAACACTGTACCCATATGCAATTTTTATAATTTTTTTGTGACAGATAGAGTTTTATTTTGGTGGTATTTAATCACCTCTGGGTTTTTTTGTTTTTTCTTAAACAAACCAAAAACCACTGAAAATTTTGAAAACAAAATTTGACAGCGTGACAGCTCAAGAGGAGAGAAATGCCGATAACCGGCACTTCCCTGTTTACATGTGATCAGCTGTGATTGGACACAGCTGTTCACATGACTGAGCCAACATCTTCGGCTCTTTCCGTGATCGGTGATCTGCTGTGCCCGAGGGTCACAGCGCACCACCGATCGCCGCATTGTGCGCTCCCTATGCCACGCATGCACAGTGAGAATGGGAGGACGTCATATGACTTCCTCCCAGAACGAGAGAACCACTTTGCGTCCATCATATTACTATATGGCGGGTGGGAGGTGGTTAAAATCTATTAATAAATGCTGCATTACATGCTGTTCATACTCACTCATTCACTATGGGATACATTTTCTGTATTCTGCAAAAAAACTGGTTTATCCTGCTGTTTTCTATCTCTCCCTCCTGTCCATGTCACCAATGCAGTTGGGTATTTTGGCAGCTACTGCACATTCTCAGTTTTCAGTGAGTTTCTATGCTGAGCATTTCCTCCCTATCCCATCTGAGCAGCCCATGTGACTATAGACTCACACCTGTGGTGGTATACACAGTGGTAAATGACAGCCCACTCCCTCCCTCCTCCTCCATGCCCACTAACCAGCTAAACACAATGGAGGTGGGATAATATATCTTGGTTGATAGCGGCTTCACTTTCCTGTTACTCTAAGACACAGGCTGGAGGGGCATGACACGACCTGTGACTGGCAGAAATCTGCTTACATCATGTTATTTCAAAAAAATAATAAAGATTTGATTCTAGATATACATATATTTGTCTGACAATTTAAAACAGTTTATTGACATGCAGCGCTACCCCCGGAGGGGCCACTTACATTTTTGCCCGGGTTTCCCCCTTTCTTTGCCCTGCAGCCAGGCACAAAGTATTTTCCACAGCTAGGTACACACCCTCTTTGGCTCATTGTCTCTAGGGGATGTTTGTTTTTTGAGCTTTATTGTAAAACTGGGGATAGTATGGGGACTTTAGTAGGATACTCCAAAATTAGAACTATTCACAACTGAGGACATCTAGTTGATCTCTTAGTTGAGCACTTTTGAATTCCTGGCTGAAGGCAGATAGCAGATTTCTCTTTAATGTGTAGCAACAAGTAGTTTAGGAATGAGCAAAGTCCCTTTAGCAGTAGTAGTAGTAACAGGACTGAGCTCCTCAGGTACAGGCCTGTTACAGCAGAGTGTGGCAGTCCAGAGGTAATAGATTCTGAGCAAAGTTCTTCAGAACACCAGCCAGTGTTCCCTTTTCTCAGTCCCACATTGACTATCAAGCACCAGAGGGGTAGCAAAGCACACAGAGTCCCCAAGATCTCCCAGTGTCTGTACTCAAAAGGACAGAATGGCAACCTCCTTCCAATCTTCCAAGCGACTCTCTAGCGATTGTTACCAGACAGAATTTGACAGACAGCTCCTCTCAGTCAGCTTACTGTAGAACCAAGGTCACTTTTCCTAACTTCAGGCCCTCAGATCCCCACACGAGGCCCACATGGTAGTAGCTTCCAGGTGAGGTAAGCATGCATCCAGCCTATCTTGGTGCAATCCTGTCCATCTTCAGGAAGCTATGAGAGCCTTCCAGAACATGGGTAGGTAAATAAACACCATGAATAAGGATACAGCCCTAGCCAATAAATACCAGTCCCAGCATGCAAAGGGGCCACTCTCCCCCTCAATTGGCTAGGGCTGTATCCTTATTCATGGTGTTTATTTACCTACCCATGTTCTGGAAGGCTCTCATAGCTTCCTGAAGATGGACAAAACTCAAACAAACTCAAACAGCATCAGAGCATCATGAGCAGACCTGACTAATCAGTCACAGCACTCTGTTAGGCAGAACACCACACTGAATTTACCTAACAGCCAGAGAAACACAGCTATACCGTATTTCGCGCTCCATAAGACACACCTGACCATAAGACGCACCTAGGTTTTAGAGGTGAAAAAAAACAAGAAAAAAAATATTCTGAACCAATGGACTGCAGGAGATGACCAGAGACTGTAGACATAGTACAAGAGATGACCAGAGACTGCGGACACAGTACAGGAGATGATCAGAGACTGCGGACATAGTACAGGGAATGACCAGAGACTGAGGACACAGTACAGGGAATCCCCAGAGACTGCAGACACAGTACAGGAGATGACCAGAGACTGCGGACACAGTACAGGGAATCCCCAGAGACTGCGGACACAGTACAGGAGATGACCAGAAACTGCGTACACAGTACAGGAGATGACCAGAGACTGCAGACACAGTACAGGAGATGACCAGAGACTGTGGACACAGTACAGGAGATGACCAGAGACTGCGGACGTAGTACAGGGGATGACCAGAGCCTGCGGACACAGTACAGGAGATGACTGGAGACTGCGGACACAGTACAGGAGATGACCGGAGACTGCGGACATAGTACAGGAGATGACCAGTGACTGCGGACACAGTACAGGAGATGACCAGAGACTGCTGACACAGTACAGGAGATGACCAGTGACTGCGTACACAGTACAGGAGATGACTGGAGACTGCGGACACAGTACAGGAGATGACCGGAGACTGCGGACATAGTACAGGAGATGACCAGTGACTGCGGACACAGTACAGGAGATGACCAGAGACTGCTGACACAGTACAGGAGATGACCAGTGACTGCGGACACAGTACAGGAGATGACCAAATACTGCGGACACAGTACAGGAGAAGACCAGAGACTGCGGACACATTACAGGGAATGACCAGAGATGGGGACATAGTACAGATGACCAGAGACTGCGGACACAGTACAGGAGATGACCGGAGACTGCGGACATAGTACAGGAGATGACCAGTGACTGCGGACACAGTACAGGAGATGACCAGAGACTGCGGACACAGTACAGGAGAAGACCAGAGACTGCGGACACAGTACAGGGAATGACCAGAGACTGGGGACATAGTACAGATGACCAGAGACTGCCGACATAGTACAGGGGATGACCAGAGACTGCGGACAGAGTACAGGAGATGACCAGAGACTGCGGATATAGTACAGGAGGTGACCAGTGACTGCGGACATAGTACAGGAGATGACCAGAGACTGCTGACACAGTACAGGAGATGACCAGTGACTGCGGACACAGTACAGGAGATGACCAAATACTGCGGACACAGTACAGGAGAAGACCAGAGACTGCGGACACATTACAGGGAATGACCAGAGATGGGGACATAGTACAGATGACCAGAGACTGCGGACACAGTACAGGAGATGACCGGAGACTGCGGACATAGTACAGGAGATGACCAGTGACTGCGGACACAGTACAGGAGATGACCAGAGACTGCGGACACAGTACAGGAGAAGACCAGAGACTGCGGACACAGTACAGGGAATGACCAGAGACTGGGGACATAGTACAGATGACCAGAGACTGCCGACATAGTACAGGGGATGACCAGAGACTGCGGACAGAGTACAGGAGATGACCAGAGACTGCGGATATAGTACAGGAGGTGACCAGTGACTGCGGACATAGTACAGGAGATGACCAGAGACTGCGGATACAGTACAGGAGATGACCAGAGACTGCAGACATAGTACAGGAGATGACCAGAGACTGCAGACATAGTACAGGAGATGACCAGAGACTGCGGATACAGTACAGGAGATGACCAGAGACTGCGGACATAGTACAGATGACCAGAGACTGTAAACATAGTACAGGGAAAATGCCAGGGACTGCGGACATAGTACAGATGACCAGAGACTGCAGACAGTACAGGGGATGACCAGAGACTGCTGACAGTACAGGGGATGACCAAAAGACTACGGAACTTTCAGGAGGGAGGGGGGAGCGGGTACCTTAAGTAGTCCTTTCTTTGGTGTGGGCATGCTGGCTTCTTCCACCGCCGGCTTCTGTGACCCAGAAGTCATGTCTCCCAGAAGTCGCCGGACCATTCACAAAGCGCAGCGCTTCTCGCGCATGTGCAGTGGGCACCCGGCTGTCACAGAAGCCGGCGTGGGAAGACTACAGCACTAGACAGAGGAACATTTAAGGTCCTGCAGGAGAGAAGAACTGAGTGGCTGGCCCGGTATTCTGACATGGTGGCGGCGGTGGAAATACCGGACCAGCCGCTCCATATTCGCTCCATAAGACGCACTGACATTTCCCCCCCTTTTTTGGGGGGAAAAAAGTGCGTCTTTTGGAGCGAAAAATACGGTACTTATCCTAACTATACAAATACTAGCAGCTAACTAGGAGGGTGTTACAGATATGAATTATTTATTTTTACTCTGTATCCCAAAGGCTGTTTTTTTAACATGTGACCAGCAGCAGAGGACTAGAAGATCCTTTTGCTTATGTTTCCCTGTAGACGGGCTGGTAAAGGGTTTGAATATGTGACAGACGTACATCGATTAGGAAAAAGGTATTTTTCCAAATTAAACTCATTACACTGCCATCATTCATGTACAGAAGGAGAAGGGACAATGAATTAAGCAGTGTGTGTTTAGTGTCACTTTAACAAGCATGTCCAAGCTATGATTTGAAGCAATCAGCGGGCTTTCTCAGCCCCATCATTTTACATTTCATCTTTTACCTCTGTATCTCATAGTTCAATCCAGTAGGCCTCACATATCATTTTCGTGTCTTCTACCTCTTTGACACCTTCCCAGACCCTTGAGCCAGGGAGACCTCTTTTCCTCTAGTATGGATACACTTTTGCAGCCTCTTCATGCCGTATAGAATGCCTGATCTTCTGTCCCTTTCAATCTCTGCTTATTTCACTTTCCAGGCCACAGGTTCTTTGTTCACTGGAGACATTGGACATTCACTTGTATATTTGCTCAGGAAATTTTACTAAAGACTTTGCATGTGCAAAATATAACAACATCTTCATCTGCAGATCAGGCACTCAGTTCAAATGTGATACAATTACTTAAGTGGCACTAAATGATATCATTATTCTCCAAAAATAATCCATACACCTAATAGCTTTGTAATCTTTTATACAATTGTTTCTTATTGTGTTTTTCTGCCTCCTTGTAATGTTCTCTGTGAGCTCCTGAATCCCCCCTTTCCCTCTCACTTCCTTTTGCCCTATTTTTTTTGAGTTTTGGCAAGGACACAGGGGCCCCCCATGATCCCCTATTGCCCGGGGGCCCCATGAGTTGTCAGTCTGCCCCTGGTCCCAGGTCAATCACCTGGAGCAAGCAAGATAGGGTGGCTATGTTCCTACATAAAGCAAGACTATATCGAAACTAATGTAGTCACGCTCTAACAGGAAGTCAGATTACAACAGAAAAAGCAGAGGAATTTGGAGATTTGGAAAAGGCTGAGAACAATAGAAGAAACATTTTAAGTTAAGAATATATAATTGAATAGAAATGTATTTTTTAAACCAGTTTAACACTAAAGGACACATTGCTTGTTTAACTGTCTCTCTGCAAGGAGTCTCTTAAAGCAGAACTAAAAACCCACTGTTTTTTCGGATTAGTTCACCTTTACTCAAAATCTGTGAAGAACCCTCTCAAAGACCCCCCCCCCCCAACCCTCCCGGTTTCCTGCTGTACTTACTTGCATGATACTGAGCTGTTAGGGCTCCCGCAAGGCACTCCCACGGTCCATGGATTTGAAATCCCAGCTGTTCTCTCTCCTCCTTGTCCAGCACTGACCAGCGATTGGTCAGCACCTTCTATGTGATGTGTGCTTCCATAATTTCTCAAACTCCCTTCCAGATCACTCTTCACATACATACATAGCCCTCCATCTCTTCTGCCAATTCTGTCCCGCTGAATTAGAGTGTATCCCTCAATATTTTCAACCCATTCATATAAGCTGTCCAAGCTCCTCAATCCTTCCACTCTGTGTGCGATCTGTGCATTGCTCCAGGGGGATCAGGGCTGGATCGGCTGGGGGCCTCTGTGCAGATCTCCAGATCTTGTCGCAGCAGAATGGGAGGGGAAACACAGTCACGCCCGCATAGCGGGAGGTGAGCAGCAACCGCAGTCTTTGCAAGCCCTGTCCAGACCATGGTTGTCACTTACCTCCCGCTGTGTGGCCTGGTCATCAACAGGCCACGGACCAGTACCATTCCATGGTCTGGGGGTTGGGCATGGCGGCCCCAACCCACCGGGCAAATGCCCCGTGTGCCCTATGGCCAGTCTGGGCCTCCTTCTAACCATTTTTTTACCCAACAGAGCTGCGCCCTCCCCATTTAGATGCAGTCTGTCCCTACAATAGAGCCAGCAACTGACTGGAAAATCAGTCCAGTTTTCCAGAAACCCGAAGCCCTTCTTTTTATACTAGATTTACAGCCACATTGTCACCAACCTAAGCTCCCATTGCCTCTCTGTTGTGGCTCCTGGCACGGGTAAAATTTGTGCAAATACTACCTTGAAGGCTATTTTCCTGAACTTGGTATCTAAGTCTCTGAAAACTTTTTTAGGATGCTCCATCTTCCTCTTCATTTGTCAGTTGTACCAATGTGTACCATGACAGTTGGGTCTTCTTCAGCTCTTTCTTAGGCACCTGGTAAACAGCAAACTGTACAGAGAATGCAGTCTTTTTGTGACAGATTACCCTGTCCATCCTTCTAATTTTCAAATCCCCAACCACCAATATCTATCTCTCTTTGCCTACACATCTGTTCCCATCAATAGTCATTCCCCTGGATGCCAAAGGAGGTAGTCCGCTCCAGCAATGCTACTCCTTAACTGATATCCCCAAAATCCCAAAATCATGTCCAAACTTTTTCCTCTGCCCAGTCTTCTAACTGTAACCCAGATATCTACCTCTGACCTCCTCTCCTCCATTTCTCCACTCTCCATTATAATGGCCCAATACATCATCTTATAGGTGAGGTCCAGACTCCTTTTCAGGTTGGTAATGCTCTGCAGTGTTACTAGTTGGTATTTGTTCAATATAGATACATACATAGAAAAGGATTACATTACAAACCTGGAAAGACATGGTAACCACCTGCTAAAAATTTACAATAATGCTATAGGTTGAAACCTGGTTTTGTTATACCCTGGGGTGTACTATTTTGTTGAGCACTGGAGCATGCAAAATCTGGTGCAGCTCTCCATAGAAATCAATCAGCTTCCAGGTTTTATTGTCAAAGTTTAATTGAACAAGCTGAAATTAGAAACTGAATGGCTACCATGAACAGCACCACCAGATTTTGAACTCTCTGGTTATAAATCAACCCCAATGTATTTTCTCTTGTCCATGTATTTTTCTGCATTTGGAAAATGCAGCAAAATGCTTGACATGTTTAGTGTGAATCAAACCTTTTGTAATTTCCATACTCAGTCTATTCAACTCTTGCTATTGATATGGTCACCCATGTACCATTCATACCTTAGGGCCTCCACATAGAGGATTTTGCACTAAATACTAGTCATGACACTGTTAATAACTCATCAGTGGGGTTGATTTTCTAAAACTGGAGAGTGCAAAACATGTTGCAGCTGTGCATGGTAGCCAATCATCTTTCAAGTTCAGCTTTTTCAATTACACTTTGAAAAAAAAAACTGGAAGCTGATTGGTTTCTGTGCAGAGCTGCGCCAGATTTTGCTCCACTGTGTTTCTGTTACTGTTGTTTACAAATTACTTGCTCTAGCATAGTGATACAATTTAAACCCAATGAAACACAGTATAAAAACATCTAAATAACTCCATTTATATATGTAAAATCTGAAATTGCAGATCCTTGTGCATGTAAAATGAGGGAGCTGTAGAAACATAACCTCTGTGTGTTAGTACACAGATGGGTCAGAAACAGATGGCTAATTTCTATTTAATATGCTAATCCCCCTTAATAATTACAGCCAGGAAAATGAATGCATTCAGACGCTAGCTACAAATTCAACACTTGGTAATAAAGTAAAGATCTTGTGAAATAGTTCAATATACCTAAACTTGTGTGATGTAGTTGACAGTCATGCTTTATGCAGTTTAGGGGGGTCCGCACACCAATAACAGAGAGTACTGTGTAATCAAAATATAGGGTTTATAGAATGTTAGTGATCTTAATAAGCAAGTGACTGCACCACAGGCCTTACAGGATATGTTGGAGTCTAATAAAGTCTTATTAAGGTAAATAATATTGGGGATTTGATAAACATCTAGTGCATGATCCATACTTCCTATGCTGCTTCTCTGGGAAATAAACGTATGGCACCTTAGATAATACTAGAGAGTAATTAGTAGAATGAAGTGATATTTTTGTACGCAGCAATATGTGTCAGCTATAGCGCTGGGAATTAGGCTAATTCTTCCACTGGGAAATCAGATGAGGCATTAGGATGAGCTTTATGGAGGCATGAAATTCATTGTAGAGACTGGCTAATTAATGGTTATTACAAATATTTACATATTGCAAAATTAAACATATTTAAATGAGTAAAGGAAAAAAATAATATTTAGGTTTATTTAATACACCAGAATTAGAGAAGGTGATTCAGGCACACTCCATACAGCACAACGACCTTGAATTTTTCGAATGATCACTGATGAATTGCGCCACCGCAGTCCCATCAGCTAAACATGTCACCAGCACTATAAAAA